GTTCTCCAAGAACTCTCAAAGATGGTTGCCAATGGTTCTGAAATGACTTCCGCTAGTTCCAGGTAGTAGGTAGCGGCTAGGTAGTCCTGGATGACTTGTTTCCCTATTTGACGTTGGATTTCCCCTCTTCCTTCATCCATTCCATGTTGCTGAGGTTGGGGACGGCTTTCTTTTTGTGAGAAGACAGGCAAATGAGGCCTTAAGTAGTTCTGCCTTTTCCCCATCTATCCCCCATCAGCATTTCCCCATCTTCTCCTCACAAAGGCCCTGTTGCCTCCTTATTCTTCCTTTTTCTACCAACATAAGCAAAGAAGCCTTTTTTATTGATTTTAATGTCCCTGACAAGCCTGAGCTCATTTTGCACTTTAGCCTTGTGAACCTTCTCCCTACAGGAGTGGATTATTCGTTTCTGGTGGAGTGTGAGTTGCTAAGACAATGGTTGTGACTCGCTAATAACCTAATTCTACATATGATCATTGTCCTCCTTTATAGCATAAACAACAAAAGTGGGGTGTTTACAGAAGAGGCCTCGGAGGTGGACTTGTAGAGCAAGTCTCCTTGAGGGACCTTGAACGGAAAAGGCCTCCACCTGATGGGCAGACTGGGCCTGAGTCTCACTAAGAACTAGCTGGATGAAGCCATGGATCGAGGTGCCAAGCACAATGTGTAATTTCTCCACTCACATCTCACCTGGCAGGCACAGACTTGGAGATCCTTAGGGAAATTGGCTTACAAATGGGTGGGCCAGACTTCCTCAACATGGACAGGGCAGAAGGATGGAGTCTACTGAACAGCATGACATAGATGCATTCCAGGGTTTGCTCAGCAGCAAGAGATAGCCACTCCCGTTGAATAAAATGACTTTAGGTGCAGCAGAGGCCAAGTGCACTCTCCATTTATTCCATGTATTCATCACCACAAGGTATTCCATTCCAAAGGTGAGTCCTTGCAATGGGTTAGAACACCCGAATACATATCCACTGCTCATGAACCTGCCCATAATTACGGGCTTCCAGATTTCACAGTCCTCCCCCCATGGGACTTGGTTGGTTTGGGGTCTGCTTGGAAGATGCTTGGATGTGGATTCATTTTATGTGTGGAGATCGGTGCAGTGACCAACACACAGCCTTCATAGAAAGAGGTTCTAATCCAGTGGCATGGATACCCTGATGATTGGTGGCCTCCTACCTGTTGCAGCCTTCGTACACCTTCACAGCTATTTATTTATTTATTTACTTTGCTTATATACAGCTGTATCTCAAGCCCGAAGGCGACTCACAGCGGTTCACAAACAGTAAAAACAGTAGAAACAGCAGTGGTTCCATACAACATATAACAATTGACTTAACACATTATCCATAAATTACCAATAAGCAATTACAATGCACAATTATTACAAAAACAACCGTACCCAATCTTCTCATCATCCAAGCGTAGTCCAGGTTCGTCGTCCATTGTTCCATTCCTATGTTCCATTACCAGATTGCACTAAATTACTCAAACGCCTGCACAAACATCCAGGTCTTCACCTTTTTGAGGAATACCATTAGAGATGGTGCTAGTCTAATGTCCGTAGGAAGGGCGTTCCACAGCCGAGGAGCCACCACCGAGAAGGCCCTATCTCTCGTCCCGCCAGCCGAGCTTGAGAAGCAGGCGGGATCGAGAGCAGGGTCTCCCCGGAAGATCTCAAACTCCTGGTGGGTTCATAGGAAGAGATGCGGTCAGATAGGTAGCTTGGGCCGGAACCGTTTAGGGCTTTAAAGGCCAACGCCAGCACTTTGAATTCAGCCCGGTAGCAGATCGGTAGCCAGTGGAGTTGGCGCAACAGGGGGGTTGTATGCTCCCTGCGCTCCACTCCTGTTAAAATCAGTGGCCACCAGAATGTCCGCTGGTGATAGTGGGAGACTCCCAACACAGCTACTGCAGAGGACACAATGGTGCTGTGTCTTGCTGGATGACTCCCTTCCCTATGGCCACCGGAATGTCAGTTTGTGATACTGGGAAGGACATTTAAATTCTACTGCAGATGACACAATGGGGCTTTGTTTTGCTGGATGGCTGCCTCCCACCCTGTGGCCACTGGAGTGTCATTGGTGGAAGTGGGAGGGACCCTCAAYAGCTGAASCAGAGGACGATGGCTGCCTACCATCGAATGACCACCAGAGTGGCATTGGTGAAAGTGGGAAGGGCTCTCAACAGTTCCTGCAGAGGACAATATGGTGCGGCGTCTTGCAAGATGGCTGCCTTCAACCCACTCAAGAAACCTCCAGTTCAGTCCATGTGATGGAGGCAACTGCACTCCCCATTGTCTGCGGTGGAGGCTTCATGGCACTCCGAGATCACTTCCCATGCATTGTATGTGATGGACTGAGTTGCTCAGGACAACCATTTATTAGGACTTTATTTACACAGGGATTTTCCGCATCATCCTTTGGGTTGAGGGAGTGTGACTCAAGCCAAGAGAGTGYGACTTGCTCAAGACGACACCGCAATCAGAAACTGGGGACCATGAGTAACTGGAAATGTGTCCCAGKGAGCTGCTCTATCCTACGGAGGGGGAAAAATCCAGCCTTGGTGTCCGGGGAGAAAGGAGACCCACCTCAGACCCAAATAAAAAGCAAGTAGAAGTAACGGGGGTGCTATTAAAAGACAAAATGGTAAGTGCACTGGTGAACATTATAGGTTTTATTTCAGAATATCCCTCAACTTTGCTTATCCTGCTTTAAAGCCCTGAGCGCATATTGTTGTGAGCATTAACAACACACATCATTGAAACACCACACTCTTCAGTGTTTTTTGATTTTGGGTGCACTACAGTTTCCAACATTGTGGGTCAACACCCCTCCAATCCCACCATTATTTTCTGTTGATCATGTTGGCCATGTGTCAAGTTTGGTCCAGATCCACTGTCATTTGGGTTCAGTGTTCTTTGACTGTGGGTGTACTACAATTGCCAAAATGGTGCTTCATTTCCCCCGAAACTCTCAGTATCCGAAGTTGGTCATGTTGGGGTGAGGGRGAGGCCAAGCTTAGGTCAAATTCAGCCAATGATGGATCTGGACCAAACTTGGCACACATACCTAACATGGCCAACTTTGAATACGGAGAGGGKTTTTTTGGGGACTGACCCATGATCTGCCTAATTCATATTCMACCTGGCAAAGAWCCCAGTGTTACCTGCCCATTTACTAAGCTGACTGGGGCTGATCTGTCCAGCAGTTGGATGGGCAACGTCTTCTCAGTGACCTTCAAGGGTGAACCTCAGAGRCAGTGAAGACTTTTGGACTCCTCCCCTCCTAGAGAGATTCCTATCTAAATCCACACATGTGATTGTAAGATGTATTAATAATTTTTATTCCAAGGAACAGAAATACAAGTGTGAAAACAGAAACAGGTATAGAAAATAGTTACATTGAGCAAGAATGTCTCCCTACACACACAAAACAAAAAGAATTGTTGAACAACTAACAGAACTCAGTCTGAAACAATCATCCTAACCTATACAACCCTATACGACTATATCAGAAACTGGACAGCTGAAATTTGTTCCCATTTTTCTTGCAGAAAAACGATCAATGAGTTCCAGTGTTTCAGGATTTCTCCTGCATCAGCAGGATTAGTTTGTCTATCTCAGCTAATGTGCACATCTTTGTCACCCAGTCCTCTTGCATCAGGATAGTTGGTTCTAGCCATCTCTGGACAGAGATTATCCTCACTGCAGACATTATGTACAACAGTAGTCTTTGTATTTTCCCTCTAACAGATCATCCCGCATCCCAGCAAGGAAAACTCTAGTTTTGTCATCATTTTGATCTTAACATTTTTTTCTAACATCATACATACTTGTGTCCAATACTTCTGGGCCTTTTTACAAACACATATGGTAAAAGGTCCCAACATTTTACAAATTATCAGTGCAATTTGCTGGCCAACTTGCTTCTTATCATCCAGTTAACTGACTTCAGACACAGTTGTTTCTGCTTCAGTAGCGGCTCTAATCTTTATTTACATTCCATTCATTGCAATGACACTTCCTCGTTAGCATGGTCAGATGCAATTGAGAAGAGACAAGAGACAGAGCAATGGCGTCTGCTGTATTTTTACTCCACTGTTATAAGCTCATTAATTCAATGTCCTGCCTCCTAGTCTATTGCAACATCTTTTCTGATTTACACATGCTTCATTATGTTCCAAAGATTAACTTTCAGAAAAAAGTCAAAAGACACTCCTAGAATCATAGAATCCTAGAGTTGGAAGAGACCTCATAAGCCATCCAGTCCAACCCCATTTCTTCCAAGAAGCAGGAAAATTGGATTCAAAGCACCCCCAACAGATGGCCACCCAGCCCCCCCCCCCCACACACACACGCCAGGGCAGAGTTCCACTGCTGTATGGCTCTCACTGTCAGGAAGTTCTTCCTCATGTTCAGATGGAATCTCCTGTCTTGTACTTTGAAGCCATTGTTCCACGTCCCAGTCTCCAGCAGTCTTGCCAGCCGCAYGACCRGGAGGTGACAATGCTGGCTCCTCAGCTTGAAAATGGAGAAAAGCAACCCCCCCAAAGCCAGAGATGAGCATTGCTTTCAGAAGCTGGAAATGAAAGGAGAAGCCTTTGCCTTATAAAATTACCTTATGTTACCTTATGAAATATAATAGGTACCGCTTTGGCAGGAAAAGGCAAAAGACACTCCAAGCAGYCTTGCCGGCCACACAACTGGGAGATGACAATGTTTSTCCCATRTTTCTCCCCTATGTGGGCTCTTTAATGGCTCCTCGGATCGAAAATGGAGAAAAACACCTCTCCCAGAGCGAGAAATGAGCATTGCCTTCAGAAGTCGGAAATGAAAGGAGAAGCCTTTGCCTTTGTCTGTGTGTCTCATTTTATGTGACTGTAAAGGCATTGAATGTTTGCCTATGTCTGCTGTAAATGCAGCAGGAGGAGGGGACTCTGTTTTGAGTACCCTCGGGGAGAAGTGCGGAATATACATATTGAATTATTATTATGATTAAGGTAAATCCAAAAATATATACATAGGGAGATATTTATTATATGAGCAACTTTTGCTGAAGGCCTTTCCACATTCYATGCATTTATGTGGTTTTTCTCGTGTGGGTCTTACGATGGGCAYGTAAATTTCTACTTTTGCTGAAGGCCTTTCCACATTCCATGCATTTATATGGTTTTTTCCCTGTGTGRGTCCTACAATGGGAATGCAAATCTCGTCTGTCTCTGAAGCTCTTTCCACATTCCAGGCATTGATATGGTTTCTCTCCTGTGTGGGTGTTATGATGGGCACGTAAATCTCCACTTTTGCTGAAGGCCTTTCCACATTCCATGCATTTATATGGCTTTTCCCCTGTGTGGGTCCTACGATGGGAATGCAAATCCCGTCTGCCCCTGAAGCTCTTTCCACATTCCAGGCATTGATATGGTTTCTCTCCTGTGTGGATTCTTTGATGGGAATGTAGACTTTCACTGCAACTGAAGCTCTTTCCACACTCCATGCATTCATAAGGTTTCTCCCCAGTGTGGGTTCTTTGATGCGACCGCAAACTGCTACTAGTAGAGAAGCTCTTTCCGCATTCCTTGCATTCATGCGGTTTCTCCCCTGTGTGGGTTCTTTGATGTGTACGCAGATTAGAACTGCAACTGAAGCTCTTTCCACATTCCACGCATTCATATGGTTTCTCCCCTGTGTGGGTCCTTAGATGTTTGTTACATGAGCCTTTATCACAGAAGCCCATTCCACACACTGTGCATTTGTATGGTCTCTCCCCTGTGTGTGTCCTTTCATGGACACGTAGATTTGAGGTCTGACTGAAGCTCTTTCCACATTCCATGCATTTATAGGGTTTCTCTCCAGAATGCGTTCTTTCATGTACACGCAGATGATAAGCCTTACTGAAGCCCTTTCCACACACCTATGCATTTGTGTGGTTTCTCTCCTCTGTGGGTTTTTTGATGTGTCAACAGATCTGAACGGCACCTGAATGTTTTATCGCATTCCATGCATTTGTAGGGCTTCTCACCTGAGTGAATCCTTTGATGTCGATTATATCCTCCCCTATCACTGAAACTCTTTCCACATTCCATGCATTCAAAGGGCTTCTCGCCTGTGTGGGTTCTTTGGTGCAAACGTAGACTTCCACCGCTACTGAAGCTCCTTCCACATTCCATGCATTTGTATGGCTTCTCTCCTGTGTGTATTCTTTGATGTACCCGTAGACCTGCTTTCTGACTGAAGCCCTTTCCACATTCCATGCATTCATAGGGTTTCTCTCCTGTGTGGGTTCTTTGGTGCAAACGTAGACTTCCGCTGCAACTGAAGCTCCTTCCACATGCCATGCATTCATATGGCTTCTCTCCTGTGTGTGTTCTTTGATGTACCTGTAGACCTGCTTTCTGAGTGAAGCTCTTTCCACATTCCATGCATTTGTATGGTTTCTCCCCTGTGTGTGTTCTTTGATGTGTACAAAGTTGTGTACGGTCACCAAAGCTCTTTCCACATTCTATACATTTATATGGTTTTTCTCCTGTGTGAGCCTTTAGATGTTTCTTATATGATCCACTATCGCTGAAGCTCTTTTCGCATTCCATACATCTGTATGGCTTCTCTCCTGTGTGTATTCTTTGATGCACCTGTAGATTTCCTTTCTGGCTGAAGCCCTTTCCACATTCCATGCATTCAAAGGGTTTCTCCCTTGTGTGTGTTCTTCGATGTTTACAAAGTTGTGCCCCATTACCAAAGCTCCTTCCACATTCCATGCATTCGTGTGGCTTCTCTCCTGTGTGTGTTCTTTGATGTCGAAGTAGACTTCCGTTCTGACTGAAGCTCTTTCCACATTCCATGCATTCATAGGGTTTCTCTCCTGTATGGGTTCTTTGATGGGAACGTAGAGTCTCATTGCAACTGAAGCTCCTTCCACATTCCATGCATTCGTATGGCTTCTCTCCTGTGTGTGTTCTTTGATGTCGAAGTAGACTTCCCTTCTGACTGAAGCTCTTTCCACATTCCATGCATTCATAGGGTTTCTCTCCTGTATGGGTTCTTTGATGGGAACGTAGAGTCTCATTGCAACTGAAGCTCCTTCCACATTCCATGCATTTGTATGGCTTCTCCCCTGTGTGTGTTCTTTGGTGTATACAAAGGTGTCTCCCGTTACTAAAGCTCTTTCCACATTCCATACATTTGTATGGCTTCTCTCCTGTGTGTATTCTTTGGTGTACACGTAGACCTGCTTTCTGGCTGAAGCCCTTTCCACATTCCATGCATTTATATGGCTTCTCCCCTGTTTTCGTTCTCTTTTGCTTTCCAGACACCTGTTTTTCCGCACCAGGCTTTGTTACAGCTGGCTTCTTGTGTTTCTTCTGCCGATTTCTTTTTTGAGAAAAAAGAAAAAAAATCCTTTAGACAAAATGACAGAAATCAGAGACCAAATAAGATACTTATCCCCTAGAGCAGTGGTTCTCAACCTTCCTTATGCCGCGACCCCTTCATACAATTCCTCATGTTGTGGTGACCCCCAACTATAAAACTACTTTAGTTGCTACATCATAACGTGCACCTACAATCAAAGAGCATCCTGAACTCCCCAAATAAAGTTCCTTCTGTTGTGGTGACCCCCAACCATATTTTCGTTGCTACTTCATAAATAATTTTGCTACTCTTATGAATTCTAATGCAAATATCTAATATGCAGGATGTATTTTCATTGTTACAAATTGAACATAATTAAAGCATAGGGACTAATCACAAAAACAATATCTTTGGGGGAGTATGGACAACGGATGATGGGATTTGCAGTACCTTCAACCAATTCAGCTCTGACTTCCACAGACCACTGAGATCCCCCACAAATTACAGACCTGGACCAAACTTGGCACATAGAACTCCCATGACCAACAGAAAATACTGGAGGAGTTTGGGAGGAATTGACAGTAATTTATGGGAGATGTAGTTCACCTACGTCCGGAAAGCACTGAGAACCCAAATGACTATGGATCTGGACCAAACTTGGCATGAATACTCAATATGCCCAAATTTGAACAATGGTGGAGTTTGGGGGAAATGGAAAGGACTGGTGTACATAGACCTTGGCATTTTGGAGCTGCTGAGATATATAGTTCTCTCCCATCCAAAAGCATTCTGAACTCATGCAAACGGGGAATGCACTCACACTTGGCACAGAGAACTCTGGCGGACAGAAAATACTGGAGAGGATTGGGGTACATAGACCTTGGCATTTTGGAGCTGCTGGGATATATAGTTCCCTCCCATCCAAAAGCATTCTGAACTCATGCAACCATGGAATGCACTCAAACTTGGCACAGAGAACTCCTTCCGCCCGTCTCTCACCCTCTTCTGAGCTCGGAAGGAGGCAAAGGCCGGGTGGTGAAGGCTCCTGGGATGGCCAGGCATTGAGGACGGCAGGAATAAGTTTACTCACCTTGCGGGTCTGAACACAGGTTGAGTCTTCTTCCCCCGTGCCTTTGCCTCCAAAGCTCCTCCTGCTGACTACCCACAGGTCTGTGGGAAGAGCAGGAGGAGGAGCCTGCCAGGAGTGAAAATGTGGCTGGCTCAGGGGGTTGGCAGCCATTTTGGAGGGGGTGGGGCCAGCCAAGGCAGCTTCGCGACCCCCAGAAAATGGCCTAACGACCCACCTTTGGGTCGCGACCCCCAGGTTGAGAACCGCTGATAGAGGGTTAGGAGAAAGGCCTGTGATTGGCCAGAGTTGCTAGCAGGGAAAGCTAGTGAGGAGTTTACAGCTATTAGGAAGGTAGCTGGGAAACAGAGATAGATCCAGGTTAGGACTATCTGTGCTGGTGGAGAATTACTGTCAGAGAAACTATCCTGTCAGGATTCTTGTTTGGAGGGAGAAAGAAGTATTTCTTGTGTGACAAAGTCAGAACACGCTTTCTAGACAAATTTCTGTAACAGCCAAGCTTAAACCTACACTGTTCCTGTTCTTGTAAATAAACTTTACTGTTTATGGTTCATTACATCTGACTCAAGTGTGCCTCTGTGCTTAAAGGTTTAAAAGCAGCTTTAAGCAGAAATCAAGCACTTAATTAGTGGCAGTGTATGTTTTAAAGAACCATCTTTAAAGGCTACCTCAGAAACTCAAGCCTGAGGGCTAACACCATCACACTCTTTCACAAGTTACCTCAAGTAAGCCAAGGGCTTATCAGCACTGCTAAGTGGGTGGGTGCCAGTGTGCTTTCAAAAAGGGTTTTTCAGCCAGGAAGAAAGTGCCAGCTTTCTATCACAGCCTTTTGGGTTTTGGAGCTTGGAAACGCAGAAGCTTTTGTCCAATACAAGTGGTTTTCAGTTGTGGGATTATTTTATTTCCCAAACAAAGTCACGCTACATCTTTTATATTTTTTACATATGTCTTTTATATCTTTTACATATGTCATCAGTTGGTGACCCCTCCCCCCAGCACCAACTGCCGCTCTGGGCCAGAGTGAAGAGAGAGGGGTGTCTCCTGTGCTATGTTAATAATATAATAAAATATAATATATTGTATATCCATATAATATTTGTAATATTATAATTACAATGCAATATAATACTAAAAATATGATATTATAATATATATTTATATTACATGTAATATTACTAATATTACAATATAATGGTATAATACAATATAGTAATATTTAATACTGATATTGTACTTTGGTAATAATATAATATATTGTATGTATATATATATTGTAAGCTGATCTGAGTCCCCTTGGGGGTGAGAAGGGCGGGATATAAATGTCGTAAATAAACAAATATGGAATCTCCAGCTCTGGGTGGCCCAAGGATAGATGGTGAGGAGCAGTGGGAGGCTCTGCACAGCCCTCCATAGCCTGTTCCACACTGAGGTGCATCAATATCTACTCCCTGTTTAGGAATGAGATTCAACTGCTTAGTTTGACCAGCATCTCTCCATGGATCGGACCCCTGGGTCTGGAAAGGAAGAGAGGGAGGGACCACATTCACAACTGAACACTGAACAAACTTAGGTCTGGCACAGTTTGGGCAAAGGCACATGACCTGCATTCAACTGGCATCCCAAGAGAGATGTGATCAACCCATTTTTTTTAAAGCTAGGAAAACCTTACCTAGGTGCCATGTTCTCACCAGTCTCCACTGTACCTTCTACACACCAAGCCCACCAGGGCACTCCTCTCCTCCTCAGGGAGCCACACAACGGCCTCCTCAAGGGCTGGCAGAGGCTAAAAGGAGAAAGAGGAGATGGAAAACAACACTCAAATTAAAAGCCTGCTGACCTCACAAGTGGTGAAGAGCAAGCAAAGGTGGAATGAAAGTCCAAGATATTTGTGGTGAACGGACTGACAAGAATAATAGGTTGCTTACCTGTAACTGTCTTTCCTTGTGTGGTCATCTGTGAATTCACACCACTGGGTATTCTGCATTTGCACCGAGCCTCTTTGGAATGATTTTAGTATGAACCCAATCTACTCTCTCAAGGGCAAAAAAGGAGGCGGTTACCAGCTGCACTCAATGCGACCAAGGGTGGCATGACACTAGTGGGGAGAATGGGTGGGGTGGGGTGAATTCTCAGATGACCACTCAAAGAAATATAATTACAGGTAAGCAACTTGTCCTTCTTCTTCTTAGTGCTTGTGAATCACACAAGCTATAATGTGAGGTGATGGGAGCCATGACACACTACACACTTAATTTTAATGAAATTTTAATGAAATGTCACCAAGTAAAACATGAGAATGTTAGCCATACGTGAAGAATAAACTTTAGCAAATTCTCAGAGTGGCACCAAATTTTCAGTGTAACAGATATGACCTGAAAACATTGGCCATGCATGAACTTTAGCAAATTCACTGTCAAATTATAGTGTAATGTGAATCTAGTCATTTGGAAAAAAACAAAAATTAAAATCAACTATCCTATCAAAACAAGTATGTGCCTACTACAAAGTGAAACATAGCAAAACCACTCAATATTCTGCCGGAAAAACACCATTTTGGCAAGGTGATTTGGCAGAAAAGGTGAGCATTAGATTCGAGTAAATATGGTGAGTGCAAGGTCATAGCATCCCAAGGGTCTATACCCTGGTCTTCAAAGAAATTTACATAACATCTCCATTTGTGTAACGGTCCAAAAGGGTTTGTTCTTGTGACTTGGTTTGAGTTGGAGAATGTTGATATCCAAAAACACCCTGGGAGTCATGGCCAAGCCAAAGGCAGGCACATGAAAGCAAAAATCTCAGCTGCCTACACAAAAATGAGGAAGCATTAATATTATGAATTGCAACGTGGAACTAAGCATCTTCCAAGTCAATGGTGGCAAACCAATCTCCTTGATGAAACAAGGGAAGGATGGAAAACAGTCACCATACAGAAGTGACAAATAGTGATGGAAGTCTTCACAATTCTGAGATCTAGTATCGGAAGAAGACCAACATCCTTCTTCAAAACCACAAAGTATAGGGGAAAAAACAACCAGGGGCCAGTCTTGTGCTTCAACCTGTTCTACCACTCCCTTCTGGAGTACAGAAATGATCTTTTTAAGATGGAACCCAAAGGAGGTATTCAACAGACATTCACTGTGGGCGATAAGTAATTGAACTCTATAGTGTGACCCAGGTGTTGTTTGTTATGTTTGACCAAACCCGAGTGTAACGAGAGGTGATCGTCAAAGGGAGGTCTTTCAACGTTAGAGATGCCAAATTCACAAGTTACAACTACAACACAAGATACAACACAACAATCGAGTTGAATGTGAGCTAGGCAATGCTACTGTTAACTGGATCTGTAACTGGTTACGTAACCAAACCCAAAGGGTGCTTTTCCCCAATGGTTCCTCTTCATCCTGGGAAGAAGTGACTAGTAGCGTTCCATAGGGCTCTCTCCTGGGCCCAGTACTGAGCCAAACTAACAAAATGAATGTCAACAAGGACAAACGTAGATACTCCACTTAGGCAGAAAAAAATGAAATGCAAACATACAGAAAGTGTGACGTCTGTCTCAACAACAGTCAATGTGAAGAAGATCTTGGGGTCTTCGTGGACAGGAAGGTGAACATGAGCCAACAATAGGATGCAGCAGCTTAAATGTGATGCAGCAGCCAGAGGGTGAGAACTCTACCTTAGAACTCCTGCCTGGGGCCAGCCTTTCCAAACATACTGGGCGTGGCCCCCACAGGTGCGCCATCTCATCTGATGCCAGCAGCAGATAAAACAGCCAGTACTGGACCCAGAGCCTGCTTTGCAATCCAAATATGTTAAGCCAATCAATAAGATCTCGGCACTATAGGACTTTTACCAACATGGATAGAGACACCTTATCATCATGAGAACCCCCCCCCCCATCTGCCTCCTCAAGGAACTCATACCACAGTTTATCCCCCCATGAAGAGCTGGGTTGCATTCCTGTCCTTAAACAGTATTCAGAGGACTCCTTAATTGTGAGGATCTGGGAATCTCCGGGAGAGCATAAAGAATGGAGGCGGATATTATGGGGAGACGGGTGTGGGAGGGGGATGGTAACTAGACCCCTATCGGTCATTTTTAATTTGTGGAATTGTGCAATATAATAATTTTATTCAGCCAGCACCTTAATCACTCTTGGACACCACCTGACTTGGACACCACCTCAGCCCTGTTGTCTTGTAAATGCCTTTTTACTTTTAATGTTTTGACTGTTGGCTATTATTAGATCTAGTAGTAAACATGTTCTAAATGGTTGATTTATATATTTAAATGTCTACATTTGTTATTTTTGAGTTGTTCTATAAGTACACCTAATGTTGTTTATTTTATTGTTTATGATTTGTTTGTTACGTTATGCCGGCATTGAATAATAATAATAATAATAATAATAATAATAATAATAATAAAAACTTTATTTATACCCCGCTACTATCTCCCCAAGGGACTCGGTGCGGCTTACATGAGGCCGAGCCCACAATACAACAATAAACAATAACAATAATACAATACAAGCAATTAAAATCAAACAAAACAATAAAACAATAACATAAGCATTAACAGTCGGACAACACACTTTAAAATCAATGAGTAGGCTGAATGTAATTAAAAATTTAAAAAATAATGCTGAACATGGGCAAAAAAGTGTGAAAACATACAAGCAGACCTAACAATTAAAGTGCTATGTTTAATGTTTGCCAATTTTCTGTTGTAAACCTCCCTGAGTCACCTCGGGGAGATAGGGCGGTATAGAAATAAAGTTTCTATTGGTCCACGCTCTTGTTACATCCCGATTGGATTACTGCAACGCACTCTACGCGGGGTTGCCTTTGAAGACTGCTCGGAAACTCCAACTAGTCCAGCGGGAGGCAGCCAGATTGCTCACCGGAGCGACATACAGGGAGCACACCACCCCCCTTTGTGTCAGCTCCACTGGCTGCCCATCCAATTCCGAGCACAATTCAAAGTGCTGGTTTTGACCTACAAAACCCTATACGGTTCCGGCCCAGTGTATCTGTTCGAACGGATCCCCCTCTACGTCCCACCTCGGAGTTTAAGATCTTCTGGGGAGGCCCTGCTCTCGACCCTGCCTCTATCACAAGTGAGGCTGGCGGGGAACGAAGAGCAGGGCCTTCTCGGTGGTGCCCCCTCACCTGTGGAACTCACTCCCCGGGGAGATTAGATCGGCGACTTCCCTTCCTTCATTTAGGAAAAAGTTGAAGACCTGGATATGGGACCAGGCATTTGGACATTCTGGCAGCTAAAGAAAGACTTGATGATGAGCAGGAATTTGACGAAACGGAATGGATTCACGGAACTCTGAACGCTGAGCTCAGGATAAGTTTACAATAAGCGTTATTGTATTGTCTGTGCTGATGATTTTAATTTTAATTTGTAACTGTTTAATTGCTTTATATATGTATGTATAGGTGATAAAGGCATCGAATTGTGCCTTCTTCTGTAAGCCGCCCTGAGTCCCCCCTCGGAGGTGAGAAGGGCGGGGTAAAAGTAACGGAAATAAATAAATAAATAAATAATAAAGCCTATGGGATTTTGAGCTGCATCCAAAGGAGCCTACAGTCTGGAGCAAGGGAAGTAGTAGTGCCTCTCTATTCTACTTTGGTTAGACCTCTTCACCTGGAATACTGTGTCCAGTTCTGGGCACCACAGTTTAAAAGAGGTATCGACAAGCTGGAAGGTATCCAGAGGAAGAGTGCGACTAAAATCATCATCATCATCATCATCATCATCTTTATTGATACCCTACCACCATCTCCCAAATGGGGACTTGGGGCAGCTGACATGGAGACCATACATTTCTATGAGGAGTGTTTTAAAGAGTTGGGTATGTTTAACCTGCAGAAGAGAAGGTTGGGAAGGACATGTATAATGTTCTTTTTCATGGCAGGAGCGACTTGAGAAACTGCAAGTCACTTCTGGTGTGAGAGAATTGGCCATCTGCAAGGATGTTGCCCAGGGGACTCCCGGATGTTTTGATGTTTTATCATCCTTGTGGGAGGCTTCTCTCATGTCCCCGCATGGGGAGCCGGAGCTCATCCCCGCTCTCCCTGGATTCGAACCTCCAACCTGTCAGTCTTCTGTCCTGCCAGCACAAGGGTTTCATCCATTGCGGTACCAAATGTCATAAGGAAGAGGGAGAAGGTTTGTTTTCTGCTTCCCTGGAAACTAAGACTCGGAGTAATGGGACACAGGGTTATTCCAGGTGATCTAGACCAGGGGTCCTCAAACTACAGCCCGAGGCCCGGATACCTCTGAATAGAGTCACAGAGTTGGAAAAGAGCACAGGGGGCATCTGGACTAACCCCCATGAGGGGAGGTCCAATCCATGACCCAGTTCACTGAGATGGGTTTCCTGTTTCAGAGAAACTCTAGATTGACCAGTCCTTGAATGGAAGGGAGGGAAGCCCTCTTGCTTTGTGCTAAAGCCGCCTGGCACAAGGGGCCTATTCACAAGCCCAGCAGAAGTGCATGAGGACAATCCTCCTGTGGATCACTGGCTCAGAACTCCATGAACCCCCAAGAGTGGTTGGAAGGCACCAGCATTAGACATGGGAAGACCTTCAGAGAAGGGCAACTGAAGTGCTTACCCAGATCCTTCTTCCTTCCTGGCCTCCTTGGAGAGAACCCTGAGGCCTGGATCCAGGAAAACTCTCTTGCTTTTGGGTGGAATTATGCAGCCTCCTCCTCAAAGTAGAGCCAGAGCTGAAACAGACGAATAGCACAACATGTAAGTCAAGGCAAACA